TTGGCCAGGTCGTCCTTTTGTTAATGCTGGCGTTTTTTTGTGCCTTTGCTAATGAATACATTACCTTTTCGTTCATCCGGTTGTTTTTATTTTCACGTTGTTATATTTATTTTCGCTTCTTGCTCCATTTACAGTTTGTCCAAGTTGAGAGTGGTTCTCGGGGGAACTCTCCGTTCATCAACTTGGACTTTTTGAAGGTTCGGACGGCAGTAGATCTTCGAAAAGAACTCTCCGTTCACCGTCCGGCCAAGTTGACAGTGGTTCCCGAGGGAACTCTCCGTTCATCAACTTGTGCTTTCCTCGTGTTTATTGAGACTAGTCGTAAGAGAAGGCGGACGTCCTGTCATTGAATTAATCGTTGAAAATGAAAATACAACTTTTAAGAATAATTTAACTGAAATAAAAATTTTAAATGCGTGGCGTTCCAAGTGTTTAGAATTGGTCGTCCGTCCGAGTGTTGTAGTCTGTACGCTCCATTTCCTAGTGCTTCGACCACTCGGAAAGGTCCCTCCCATTTTGCCATGTGTGGTCACTCGGCGAGCCTCTCCAACCTTTCTCCACACTAAGTCTCCCTCCTAAAAGCTCCTCGGTCGCACCTTGGAGTTGTACTTTCTTTCCACCATGCGTTTGCATGCTTCGGCTCTTAATGTCGTCCGGTCTCTACGCTCGTCCAGAGAATCCAGCTCGATTCGCAGCTCTTGGTCGTTCAGCTGTAGGTCCTCTACCGGACGTCGTAACGAGGGCTCCCCTAGTTTGACCGATAACATGGCGTCAGTGTCGTACGTCAAGTTAAAAGAAGTTTCCTCGGTCGTTCCATGGGGCGTGCATCAGTAAGCCTACAGGACTTCTGGTAGCTCGTCGACCCATGCTCCCTTTCTTTCTCCCAAGCGCCGCTTCCGCTCGGCGACCAGGGTTTTATTCATTGCCTCCACCTGACCGTTCTTCTGGGGGTGCTCCACCGAACTGGTGACGTGCTTAATTCCCAAATTTTTGGAAAATTCGGCCAGTTTATTATCGATGAATTGTCAGGCGTTATCCGTGATGATTGTCTAAGGGAGACCAAAACGACACATCAACAGAATTTCTGAACCTGGGGGGCCGTTACGGTTGCTAAAGGCTCGACTTCCACCCACTTAGTGAAATAGTTCACAACTACCAGGAGGAACTTCTTATGGGCCCGGCCTATGGGGAATGGTCCAACAATGTCCATGCCCCATTGAGTGAACGACCATGGCGCAGCTATCATATGCAAGGTGTGAGGCGGCAGGTGGGTATTGTTAGCATGTGCTTGGCAACTGAGGCATTTCTGGACGAACGTCTTCGTGTCCGCTTCCAAAGTCGGCCAGTAGTACCCCACTCTCAGTATCCGGGCTTTCAAAGCCCTTCATCCGGTGTGAAAAACGCAGATGTCGTTGTGGAGTTCGTTCATCACATAGCGTGTTTCCTCCTTTCCCAAGCACTTGAGGAGGGGGGTGGAGAACCCTCTTCTGTACAGGTCGTCCCCCACCAGGAGGTAGCGGGCGATCCTCTTTGCTTCGCTCGGTTTGACTGGCCGTCCGTCATCCTGTTGGGATATTATCTTTCGGATTTCCGAACGCCAGTCCCCTTCCTCGTTCGACACCGCCAGGCTTTCGATCGAGGGTTATAGTAGCACTTGTCGTACGACAGTCATTAACTGCCCCTTCTCTTTTCCCGAGCTGAGCTTGGACAGCATATCCGCCCGGGTATTCTCTTCCCATGGGATGTGTTGGATGTCGACCTTCTCGAACGATTTCGCCAGTTCTTTTGCTCAATGGAAGTACCGCAGCAATTGTTCCTCCTTCACCCGGAAATCGCCGTTCATCTGGCCCACGACCAACTGGGAATCCGTCCAGCATACGATCGTCCTAGCCCCCATGTCTCTAGCCAGTTCTAGGCCGACGACCAGGGCTTCGTACTCAGCTTGATTATTGGAGACCTTGAATTTGAATATCAAGGAATGCTCCAACAGGAATCCGTTCGAGCCCTCCAACACTACGCCCGCCCCACTAATCGATCTACCGGACGCCCCGTCCACGTACAGGCTCCACTCATCGTGGTTTGTGTGGGGCAATTCTGCTGCAAAATTAGCTAAGTATTGGCGCTTGATCGACCCCCTTGATTCGTATCGTAGGCCGAACTTCGACAACTCTACCGCCCACGCCACCATGCGTCCCGCCAGATCTGGTTTTCTGAGGATTTTGGAGATGGGGAAATCGATTCTGATGATCACCTGGTGACTTTGAAAGTATGGTCGGAGCCTTTTAGACGCGTTTAGCAAAGCCAACGCCACCTTCTCCACTTGTTGATAGCGAGTTTCTGCATCCAGGAGGGTACGGCTGATGAAGTACACCAGCCTTGGTTGGGGTCGTTCTTGCGTTAACATGACGCTAATGGCCGACTCCGACACGCCCAAGAAGATATGCAGATCTTTCCCCGACACGGGACGATTCATCACTTGCGGGTTAAGCAGGATGGTCTTAATATCCTGAAATGTTTGCTCGCACTCGGCATCCCATACAGAGCCTGCTCCCTTCCTCATCTTCCGCAGGACGGGTTTGACCCTCTTGGCAAGCTTCGGGATGAATCGCGACAATGCTGTAAGCCGACCGACAAGTCTTTGGACCTCTTTAAGAGTGGTCGGGCTTTCATCTGCAACCCCAATTCGCACTTGTCAGGATTAGCTTCAATCCCTCTGGATGTAAGCATGAAGCCCAGGAATTTCCCAGCGGCTATTCCGAACGTGCATTTGGCCGGGTTCAGCCGCATCCCGAACTTCCTGACTTGGCGGAAGACCTCCTCTAAGTCCCGTACATGACCAACGCCGTCCTCCGAGCGGACAACCTTGTCGTCCACGTAAACGTCCATGCATCGACCAATTTGCTCCCTGAAGATCATATCCATCAATCGCTGATAGGTGGTCCCGGCATTTTTCAAGCCGAAAGGCATTACTTCATAACAGAAGTTCGCCCTCTCAGTGATGAAGGTCGTCTTTTCCCGGTCTAGTCCGTACATCGGAATTTGATTGTACCCTCAGTAAGCGTCCAGGAAGCTCAGCATCCGATGTTCGGAGGCGTCGTCCACCAAAACATCTATGCTTGGTAAGGGGTGTGAGTCCTTTGGGCAGGCCTTGTTCAAGTCGGTGTAGTCGGTGCACATGCGCCACTTTCCATTGGCCTTTTTCACCATCACCACGTTAGCCAGCCAGGTGGTGTAGGTAACCTCCCTGACAAAACCTGCCTCCTTCAGTTTTCCCACCTCCTCCTCGACGGCTTTCCTCTTCTCCTCGCACATCCGTCGCTTCTTCTCTGCCACCGGACGGGCTTCCTTGAACAATGCCAATTTATGGAACATGACCGAGGGGTGGATCCCCGGCATGTCGACCACTGTCCATGCGAACAAGTCTTTGTTCCTCCACAGGAGCGACCTAAGCTCCTCCTCTACCTCGGGCTCCAAACCCTTCGCCATGGTAGTCGTTTGGGAAGAGTCCTTCCCTGTTAGGATGGGTTGGGTTTCTTCTATAGGCTCCAGTCGGTCCTCCGAGGTCGGCCATGGCCACTTTGGAATCGGTCGCTCTCCTCTTCCCTTGTCGGGTATATAGCTTGAGTCCGGCGACGTAGCACTCCCTGGCCGTCTTTTGATCCGCCCGGACAGTGCATATGTTTCCCTTATCCGATGGGTACTTCATTGTGAGGTGGGGAGTGGATACGATTGCTCCAAAAGCATTAAGGCACGACCGGTCAACCAACACGTTGTACGAAGTGTTCGCTTCCACCAGCAAATATTGGACCCTCTTCTCCTCATTGGACCGCCCGGTCCCCAATCTTGTGTGCAACTCTACATAGCCTCGGGTGTCTATCCTCTCACTCGCAAAGCCCACTATGTGCCCGTTATAGGGGACGATGAGGTCCTCCAGTATATCCATCTGCTGGAAAGTTTTCCAGTAGAGGATGTTCATCGAACTCCCCTGATCCACCAAGACTTTGTTGACACCGTACCGGGCGATCTCCGTATTTATTACCATCGGATCGTCCTGGTCGGGGTCGGGGGCATGGAAGTCGTCGTCCGAAAATGTGATGGGCGGCATCGTGCGACAGGGCTTATCCACCGAGTGTACGGACTGTAGGGCCCGCACGTGTCGCTTCCGGGCGGATGAAGATGACCCTTCTCCAGCGAAGCCTCCTAAAATTAGAGCCGTCAAAATGGGTTGAAACCCGTGAGCCAACCCGGCTCATCACGGGTTTGAGCCGGGTTGGGTTGGAGAAAAATGTCAAATTTTTTATGCGAGCCAATTTTGACCCGGCTCACTAAGAACCCGGCTCACATGGGTTGAACCCGTGGTGGGTCGGGTTGGCTCACCAACCCACCTATTTTTTTTTAATTAAATCAAATTAATTATTTAAATTCTATTTTTTTATTAAAATTAAATTAATTAAATTAAGTATTCAAAATGTATAACTTTTACTTAGTAATATATAGTCTTTTCACAAATTAAATTAATTCAGGAATATATCATTTGTTTTATCTTGTTTTTAGACCTATCTACAAGCATGACAGTTTTATCTTGTGCTATATATTTTTATTAACGGCTATATGTAATTACGAATGTCTCATTAAACTAAATTGGCAAAATTTTATGCTTAATAACTTAAAATATATATAACAATATATTTCTTTTGTTTCATTTTTTTTATATTAATTGATCCAATTATTACTGCTTAAATTTGATCGATCAAAGTAACATGTTATAAGAATCTCGGAAGAAGAGAGTGAAAAAGAAGTTAATTAAGTGAGCCAATGAACCAACCCGTTTAACCCACCAACCCGTGGTGGGTCGGGTCGGGTTCGAATTTTTTCGACTCGCTAATAAATGAGCCGGGTTGGGTTGGTTGACTAAGTGACCAACCCGTGGTGGGTCGGATTGGGTCGGGTCGGGTTACCCATTTTGACAACTCTACCTAAAATGGTGTTAATGTGTCCCCTCAGAGGACGCTTGCAACTTCTACTACGACTTCTTCTTCGTCGCCGTTCCGAGCGCGGGCGATGGATCCGATCGTTCTTAGACCTGTCGGGTTGGATGCTTGCCGCGGGCCGAGCCGTTCTACGGGTGCCTGAGAACGGTCAACCCGAATGTATTTTTTGAGTTGCCCCGCCCGGATTAATTCTTCAATTTTGTCTTTTAGGGTCACACACTCTTCGGTGGTATGACCCATATTTTTGTGGTAGACATAGTGTTTGCTCCCGTCCGCGCCTGATGGAGTAGGCCGCTTCATGGGTTTTGGGAGCAAATCCGCGCTTAGCGCCTCACGGAGGATCTTCTCCCTGGGGGTGTTCAAGGGGTTGTACTGCTGGAAGCGGGGTCCTCGTCTCGGTTCCTTCTGTCTAAGGCCGCTCGGCTTTCCTGCCGAATTGCCTGACTTTCCCCCGTCCGCCCTTTCCCCCCTAAGCTCCTGGCTTTCCTTCTTATACGACAACTTCATCTCTTCCACCCTAATTTCGTCCGCCGCCCGCTCCCTCAACTCTTCCATAGTTTTGGGGGCCCGTCGATAGACGCTGTCTTTGAACGGTCCTGGCTTGAGTGTGGGGAGGATGTAATGTAGGGCAAGCTCCGGGCTCAATGCCTTTACTCGTCGCACGGTCTTTTGATAGCGATCCATAAACACTCTCAACGTTTCTTCCTTGCCTTGCTTCAGGGTAACCAATTCGAAGACGGTCAGGTCCTGAGTGTTGTTTACGGCAAACTGCCGGATGAACAAGCACTTCAAGCTGTCGAAATTCTCTATAGAATTGGGAGGAAGAGAGTTGAACCATTCAAGTGCTTCTTCTTCTAATGATAGCGAAAATGCCCGACACCAGATGGCGTCATTGCCCGTCCTAAACGCCATCGCGTTCGAGAAAGTCTTGATGTGGGCCTCGGGATCCATGGTCCCATCATACATCTTGAATTGCGGCGCAACGAATTGTTCCGATATCTGAACATCCATGATTGGTTGAGCATAGGGGAGTAATAGTGTGGACGAAGGCTCAGGCTTCACCACCATCAGTCTATCCTCCGCGTCACTCTCTGCGTGTATTGATTTGGCTTTACTCCCTTTGGCCTCGGGCTCCGTCGACTTCCAGGTTTTATCGCGTCCGCTATTGTGCTTAGTGTGATCCTCCGCGGCGGCCTTTCCCTTCTCCTTCGCCCGTTCGTCCTCACCTCCCTTCCCAGCGATCTCTCGGGCTATCCGGGCCTCACACTCGGCCTTAACGGCCGCGAGCTCGTCCTCATGGCGCTGTTGCATCTCGTCCATCTTTTGCTGTAACATTCTGATCATCTCAATTGGGTCATCCATGCTCATGTTTCTCGTGGTCACCATTGGGTTTAAAAAGCAACTCGGCCCCACAGTGGGTGCCAAATGTTTCGGTCGTAGGGGCTGAGTCGTCCAATGCCTCCACGTCCTCCTCTTCTCGTCTCTCGAACGTTCGGTTCTCGCTCCTTACTTCTCGATTTCCTTTTTTGCGTGCGGGTGGGAGACCTGCGAAAGATTCTCCGATGCCAAAGTCAGTTTGAGAGCAATGACGTTTTTCGATAGAACAGTAATAAATGTGCAGTAAATGCAACCTATCTACCACTCACCCTAGATCTGTATTTATAGTTTTTGCTATGGGCTTGGGATTAGTGAAAAGTTAATCACGACCCAAATTTAGCCCAATAGTTTAACCACTACTTACCTTAAACTTGGTTAATTAGCGATGTGGTCGGCCGGTCTCCCGAAGTTTGGCCTTACGACCGGCCAACCCATATAGGCAATCTGGTTAGTTGGCGATATGATCGGCCGGCCTCATATGAGTTGCTGTTTATCCGGATGGCAAGCGGCAAGGTAGCGTAATCATAGACATACGTCTGACCTATCACGCCCGACCCCTCCCGATGGCGAGCAGAAGGGTAGCGTGGTTCGACCATTATGGTTATGCGGACGTCCGATCTGTTTGATGCTCGGTCCCAACTGGTACAAGTATATTTAATATCTTTATATTGTTTAAAAGTTAAATATAAGTGTAAAGGTAAATTTAGGTGGATTTTTCTTTTTCATTATTTTAAAATATTTTTTAAAAATAAAATTGTTCAAAATTAGTGTTGTCAAAACGGGCTACTCGGTCCAACCCGACCCGACCCATCACGGGTTGACCTTTTAGTGAGTCAACCCAACCCTTATTAACGAGCCGATAATATTTGAAGTCAGCCCGACCCATTACAAGTTGGTGGGTTAAACGAGTCGGCTCATTGACTCATTTAACTTTTTTTTCACCCTCTTCTTCCAAGATTCTTATAACAGGTTACTTTGATCGATCAAATTAAAACAATAATAATTGGACCAGTTGATATAAAAAAGGTTTTGCATAAGGAGGACAAGGGTTTGAGTTGTAATGTTTTTTGTTTTATTGAATAATTAATTAATTTCATTTCATTAAAAAAAATTTAAAAAGGTGGGTTGGTCCCTTCTCACCACAGATTCAATCCGAGTAAACAAGATCAAAATTGACTCATATCAAAATTTCAATTTTTTTTAACTCAACTCGACCCTAGAACGAATTGAAGTACGAATTTCAACTTTGATAATAATATCAACGATGAAATCAGAATATTAATGTTGTATTGAAAACGATAGTTTTAAGCACAAACGTAATTCCTTCCTAAATTAGAGAATAAAAAAGTAGTTCAAAGATAAATTCTTTAAGCCTCGATTGTAAAACTTATTTCAATATGAGACAATTATTTTTTATAACTTAAAACTTGAGGTTAAAAAATATTTAAATGGACCATTCTCTATTAATCCTCCTATACTTGATAAAACTCAAATTTTCAAAACCAGAACAACACTTTAAATGCGTCATTAGGGTATGATCTTAACATAATTAAGAAAAAAAAGACACATTTTATTAAAATTCATTCATAGATACTGAATCCGTCAATAATTCATTGGCAGTTCAGACACAATGTTTGCATCATCACAGTACAAAAGTTACAGTGTAACGAAAAACAGAGGCACCAAAATGAATGGAGGCATGTCAACAGGATGATGGTTCATTGAAAATGACAGTAACTCTCAATAACATACAACTTATTTAAAAAATGAATGAGGAAAAGGTGAGCCATACAAATGCCGAGAGGATCATGTAATAAAAAAAGAACAGAGTAATGTACGAATAATTGGTATTTATAGAAATTAATTACATGAAAATATTGGTTGAATGCGTTACAACATATTTAGCAATAAAATATGTTGAAGTCTTAGCATTTAAGTTTGAAGTCTTCATTGCTTACACCTTCTCCTTATGTGTGGTCTCTCCCTAGTAACAGTGACTACATCCATTTTAGATTTATAATTAAAGATACCCAGACTTTTATCTAAACTACCTAACCTATTTTCGAATATAGGATATATTGGAAAATGAACTATAAAATGGTCTTTTAAACAAAAATAAAAACAGTTGCAGTTTAACATTCCACTAATATAATTATGTTTAACCAAATTCTATTTGCAAAGTTAAGCATACGAAGAAACTTATTCCCGTCACGCAAATAATATTAAATGATGACCATTTTTTTTATAAAAGTAAGTATTTTTCAATGAAAAACAAATATTTGTAAATATAACTAATACAAAAAATATATTATAAAATAAGGTCAATTTGCACATGGAGTAAAGAGTTTTAAATATAGATGACATAACTCTCAAACATGTGAAACTCAAAATACAATAGAATAACTAATGCAAAAGAAATTTCATCCCAAATAAAAAATATATTTGAAAAGACTTTTTTAATCTATGTGAGACTTCATTCACTACTAAAAAGAATACATAAACAACGTTTTTTTTTTCTAATAAACAACGCTTTTTAGACATTGTCTATTAATAGACAACACTTCTAAAAAAACGTTGTCTATTGATAAGCACCAATAGACAACAATTATTTGAAAAACCGATGTCTATTGGTGTCTATCAATAGACAACACTTATTTGAAAAAGTGTTATCTATTGGCATTTGTCAATATACAACACTTATTTGAAAAATAATTGTCTATTGGTGTTTGTCAATAGACAAAGCTTATTTTAGAAAGAGTTGTCTATTGACAGCACCAATAAACAACGATTTTTCAAATAAGCGTTATCTATGATCCAATTTTTTTAAAATTTATTTTAATTTCTCATTAGACATCGCTTTCTCAAATAAACAATGTCTATGATTCAATTTTTTTAATTTATTTTACTTTTTTAATAGACAACACTTTTCCAGATAAATGTTGTCTATTGTCCAATTTTTTTTTAAAAATAATTTATTTAATTTTTCAATAAACACAATTTTTTTAAACCTACATAGATATTGGTCCAATACACACAATTTTCTCAAAAATGAATCCTCATTACTTCAGTGTATGAATACATGATCGCTCAGAGTACTAACCTATAAGCATATATACAACCATGACATGATTATCTAAGCATATGTACAATCATAACATATTAACCTATAAGCAATTACTAACGACATAAAAACATCAATCTTCCTAACTTCAATGATTTGATTATCAAAATATTGTTGACATTTACAATTAGGAAAATACTACAACAAAGGAAAATAACATAAAATTAGTCAATTAAAATTTGACTACAATTAATTATGTATAGAATTAAGATAACTTACATATGTAAGACAAATGTAATACCTGCAATCATTGTTGTTAGGTTGATTTGGATACTAGAAAATCAAAAATATAAAACATTAATATAATTGGTATCAATATATTTATGTGTGCATGAATGGGAGGCATAGATTGGACCGAAAAATACAAATCCAAAAATACACATTATAGCAAGCAAAAACCCATACAAAAATCACACCGTTATTTAAGCACAAACTAGCCAAAAATGCTCCTTTACAAGCATTGAAAACAACATTCAAAAATAAGCAAAGTGGAGCAATGATACACCAACCAACATGCTTGGACATTCCCTACACATGAAATAAAACAAGCCAAAATAGTAGGACAATGTTTACAAAACCACACCAACATGAAAGACCTCAAAACCTAGGAACTAACCATCTAAGATAACCAAAACAACTCCCGCCCTGAACTCACTACATCAAAACCATAAATATTAGCTTATCATAAATCAACTTAGAAGTTCAAAGCGTTGCACCTAACACCCAAAATTGGTTCTACATTGTCTGCTAAAAAAATTAGTTCAAGACTCACTTAGAAAGCTTGTCGAGGACACACAAGGTCATATTATACTCCATCTAGCCCCTACACCACATAACCATGAGCATCTTATGTCAAAACTGAATTATGGCCTACATAAAAAGACCTTGAACAACTTCCACCAAATTGGATTGTGGTCTACCCAAAATGCTTATGCCAGTGGCCAATAATTTGCATCAAAAAGAGTTTTAGTCTGCCTAATGCTTCTGTCAGGGGCCATTTCTTATGCCAACAATTAACCACAACCAAGTCTCCAAATAGCCAAATTATCTATAACTTACTGTTGCAAAATGGTCTAACCAAAACAACCTATACTATCTAGAGACAAAGCACAAATCAAGCTGGAAAAGCACCACAACAGTTAATTCGTTTAAAGAAACACACAACACCATCTTAGGTTGGGTGCACCTAGCAGTTAGAGATATGGCCACATGAATCGGTTTATGACTTATTTTATATCATCACAATCATTTAAAAGCATTAATCACTTGAGATAAATAATTGCAATGCACCTTTATTAGTGTCCACTTTATATTGTTTAACTTAGAAGTCATGTATCCCCTTTGAGCTCGGTAGGTTTGTATAACCCTAATTAATACATAAGTTTAAAGCATATGTATAAGAAAAACATTACAACTAAAAGTATACATATATGTGAATAACACTTATATTCTTACATGTCCAACAACTTCTTCAATTCTTGCCTCATATTGATGTTTACTATGAATGGGTCAAGATAATGAATTATCTTTAGTTTAAATTTGATTTCGAACAAAACCCATTATTGGCTAAAATATGAAATAATCGAACAACATTAGAATTCATGCATCTAATTTTGAAAATAATACATTGTTGATAAAGTTGGAAAATAAAGTATTATCCCGATACGTGCAAGAACAAACTTATGAATCACCTCATTATCAAGAAAAAGAGAAATTATTTTTTGATTCTCTCTTTCATTGATGGTTCATGTATTGTGATTTGCGGTGATAAAAGAAAGAACACCTTATCATTTAATAAGATTTTAATATAGATACCTTATAAAAGAAAAATATAAGAATATATTAGTAATATGACAAGAGATGTCAAAGAATGAACTTAATGATAAAATGTAATATGTTGTACCGAAATTGGGGTGTTAATATATATATATATATATATATATATATATATATATATAAATATAAATATAAACTTATGTTTATTCTTCTCTGATAGAATATGAAGTGCACTTATACAAATTATGTCTTCAAATGTTTTTTTTAAATAGGTTTGTTTTTTAAGAAAAAGAATATCATATAATTTAATATATAGTTGAATTATAATGTTTATCTTCGGTATTCAAACTAAATTGTTACTAATAAATCTATTATATATTTTTTAATTGCACTCAGAATAACACCTGCAATCTATTATATTATTATTATTATTTTTAGGGTTAAATATGTTTTTAGTCCCTAAACTATTGGTCGTTTCTGGTTTTCATCCCTCTTTCAAAGTAAGGTACAATTTGATCTTCATTCTTTTCAAAACATTCGTTTTAGTCCTCGAAAACTAAACACTGTTTAAAAATTTGATCCTCATTTAGCAACAAATGAGGACTAAAACCAAAATTCCGAGGACTAAAACGAACGTTTCGAAAAGAATGAGGAAAAAATTGTACATTAATTTGAAAGAGGGACGAAAACCAAAAACAAACAATAGTTTAGGGACTAAAAACATATTTAACCCTTATTTTTATTATTTAAGTTTTGATAAGTTTTTTTATTCAGAACTAAATTAAAAAGATATTTAAGTTTTGACATGTCAGAACCATTAAAAACGCACCCAAAACCCCTCTGAACGGACGCCAGGTGTCAAGCGACGAGGATCCGAAAATCAGATAGTGGAATGCAGGTGTCAGCAGATGAGCGGACGTTTGTTTTAAACAAAACTGAGTTTTTGAAAGTTTACGTCACACTCTCTGCATGCATCTTCTTCTCCAAACTCTGATATTCTCAAATTCTCCTCCTTCTCACTAAAAGCTCTCCCTTCTCTCTACCAAATCTCACCTTTTCTTTTCTTCGATCACCGTTCAGGCACCGTAGAAGTACTTTTGGCGTCCAGAGCTTCAGTTTGAACCGAACAGTTTCGAGTTCTGAACTGGTAAGTTCTTCTTATCCTTAGCCGTTCGTTCTCTGGTACATGCAAACCAAGTACCGGTTGCTTGCTGTTATCTTGTCTGAACCATTATTGGTTTTCTGCTGTTTGGTTAGTTTGAAGAATTGTGGAACGTAAGGGTAGAAAGATTTGTAGTCAGGCGAACCGTATTTCTGTCGCTAGGACATTCGTTCCCGCTCAGAGGTAAGGGAAGCTTATTTAATTTAATTTGTATGTTTACTGTGCTGCATGAACGTTCGTTGTGTTGTTAAACTAAAGTGAAACATGATTGTTGAGATATTTGACTATATGAAATGTGATGGTTATTATGTTCTGATGTATGAGGAATATGAAATGTACTATGATATGAATGTATGAAATTATGAAGTTATATGTTGAGAAATGAGTTTGAATATAAATGAATTCTGGATATGAAATTTTCCTATGATAATGTACGTTCGTCATTGAACGGTCATTGACCGTTCGGTCGTACTAGTAACCTTGGATAAAATTGGATTCTTTCATTTGGAAGAATCCTAGTTGAGGACGAGCGTCTTCGTGTGGTAATACTATGCTTGAGCGTTCGACCAAGCGTAGTTGTACCTGAGTATTCTGTGATAAATTTAAATTTGTAAATATATATAATTGTATATTTTAGTTATTCTTAAACACTATTCCAATAGTATCTTATTATATTTATTAAGCTTTTTATTTATAAGTTTAGTAGTGCTTGGTCTTACACCAAACGCTCGTAATGAGTAGTGCTCGGTCTTATACCAAGCGCTCGTACTCGTTTCTTGTATGGTTTATCTTGATGAAAATAGCGTTCGTCCAACTTCAATAGAATTTGCTCTCTACCGTGTTCGGTCATTGACTAGCATTCAGTTTCTAAATGTGAATCCTTATAAGTATTTTCCTCTGAAGGTCTTAAAGTGTATACATCCATTCGGTTCCGGCTTAGAACCTTAGTATTTGGCATTATTCTTTCGGTGTTCGGTTAGAACTCTCAAGAGTCAGTTCATTTAATTGGCTCACTTTGTAAGTAACGTTCGTTTTAGTCATTCTTGCGATATATAGTTGTACTCGGTTTCTTTCGTAACCCGACAGTAACCCTCTCGGTCTTATTCTATTTTGGAACTAGAGACCTCTCTGTCTCGTTCCAAGTGTTCGTCCTCGTTCTGAGTGAGGATTTAACGTTCGGTATCTGGTGTCTTTATAAATCTTTGAACAAAGAGGAAATTGAAATGATTGATAATGAAAGATGAAATTGAGATGATGAATAATGAAAGATGAAACTAAGATGATTGATAATGAAAGATGAAGAGAATAGGATATGAATGAAATGTGTTGGATTATGAACTAGCGTTCCGGGGAGGAACGACTCATGAATGAATATTGGAATTTGTAAAGTATGAATGTGGTTATGCTAAGCTGGTGGTTCATCCTGATGTTCCGTGAGTACTCGTCCTCACGTAGAGGAGGGTAGGTCATGTGTGAGAACGGCAGGAGGTCCTAGTCCTTAGGGGTACTTTGGACAGATAGAACTAACCTCAAGTGGCAGCTGATGAGGACATTCTAGTTACTACATCACCCGGATGCACGAACGTCGTAGCTACACAGATTTCATACAGTCCGGACAGTCAGTCTAGTATTAAGCTTTATATGAAACGTATGAAGAAATATATCTTGTGTGTATGATTTTGTGAAAATGTATGTTTATACATGAATTAAATTACATAAGCTTACCCTGTGTTCCTGTCTTGTCTTGTTTTGTACGTTCGTCTTGTCATTGCAATGATCATCCGTGTGGATGTGAGCAGAAGGAGACGAGCTGTTGGAAGATGCACTAGAAGAAGAGAATTTGGTCGAGGTAGAAGTGAAGGCCGAAGAGTAGGACGTTCGGTCATTAGTGTAGTCTATTGTAAGGTGGTCGTTCGATCACCTTCCCTTTTATTATGTATGACCGTTCGATATTTGATTTTGTAAACCGTTCGGTCAGGTTTGCTTATCTTATATAGTTTATGATCACTCTTTTGTAAGGCCGTTCGACCGTAAACGTACGTTCGATTTTTAGTATAAAGACTGATCTGAATTATTAATTAATGTGATTATTCTATTATATAGTTTTGGACGGTATTTTTGGGATGTTACATGACAATATAATTATAATCTTATTATTTTTATGACAAGAAAGAATAAAAAATTATAATTATTGTTGTTATTATAATTATAAAATTAAGCATAAATTGTTTTTATAATTTTATTTTTAATGGTTTTTATTTATTTTATAGGTATTTTTTAATTAAAAAAATGATTAAATTTAAAAAATATCAAATAAAAAATAGTAAAATTTAAATAATTAATCACCTAAAAATAATATTAATAAAATAATTTATTTTAATTTATAAAAAGATATTTAAAAGATAAAATAAAAAATAATATAGACACGGGAGTGAAATTATATATATATATATATATATATATATATATATTATTGTTATTTATTTATTATTTATAAAAACAGGTTTGGGTTCTCACTGTGAAATTTGAAAAGTATTTCTAACAAAGATCCCCGCCTCTTGTAGAGTTCGCGTTTGTCTTAGTTCAAATTTGTATCCTCACTCGCCGTCTTCCTTCAGCTATTGGCATCACTCATCTCTATTTTTCACAAATCAACCTAAACAAAATAATCACTCACAAATTTGCTATTCCTCTTTCCCTATTTGATCCACTTCTCTCTCCCTCTCTGAATTGACAATGAGCAAAGGAACGAAGAGGCAAGCCAAACAGAACCAAGAGCCAAAGCAAGGCAAGAAGCGATCCACTAAAATTAAGCCTCCCAAGCAAGACGAGTACTTCGAAGACAAGCGCAATTTAGTACTGCTACATCCTAATTTTTCAATTTCAATTTTTTTTTAAGTTGATTATGGGTCTTTGTCAAGGGTTTGAAGTGTAGCTTATGTTTCTTGATCCAATTTAGTGGCTGTGATATTTGTTTTGGACTGAAAAATTGTGCGGCTAATGATTGTTGCATTTTGGTATAAATATTTGTAGGAGGACTTGTGGAGGGAAACGTTCCCTGTAGGAACAGAGGTTTGTTTATTTATGTCGTTGATCTTCGTTCACAACAACATTTCTGTGAAGTTTTTTTTTCTTCTGAATGTCTCTTATGTGATGCCAGTGGGATCAATTGGATTCCGTGTATCAATACAAGTGGAATTTCTCTAACCTGGAAGTGAGTATTGTTGTGAACCGTTTCGCTTTCGATTATGGTGAATTTACTTAAGCTTTTTAGATTAAATATTTAATTGGTCAATAAATTGAGTTCAGAATGCATTTGAAGAGGGTGGTGTGCTGCATGGAAAAAAGGTTTATCTCTTTGGATGCACCGAGCGTAAGTAGCATGCAAACTTTACTGCTTTGTTATTTTGCCAGGACACCGCTTGAGCTTGATTTGTTGTCAATTTCCTTTTATTTGTTGTTTCATCTTACTGATTATCGTTCTTGATGTCTCCAGCTCAACTTGTGTGGTTCAAAGATGAAAGCAAAGTTGTCTGCATACCTGTTGTTGTAGTTGTAAGTTGTCAAACTTGGTACTGTTATCTGTTGGCTAAATTGTTTTGGGCTTTTTTTTTTGTTTGGACGAAAATTAGATTGTGCAAATTAGCAATAGTCATTTGTGTCTAAACCGTGTTGTTCCTTATGCAATTTAGGAAGTTTTATATTAGTCTTGCTGTATTTTTATTTTGTATCTTGCTATTATACCAGAATTATATATGCAGAATAATTCCATACTCACAGGGATTTGTTTCCCAGAATACTTCCCTATTTCCTAAAATTGTCAGCAGGTTCTTGTATATACAAATATAATGTATCTCACAAGTAAAGTCTCACAAATTATTCCTAAACTTGAGATGGTGTCGGTGCTCCTGGTCTTTAGGAGCCTCTAATCTCAACCCTAACACTCAACCTTCATTGCTACGTGACAACCTAACTGTAAGGTGCAACTTACATGGTTGTGATAGGTTCAAAGGGAAGGTTTAGGAAAACTGTATGACAGAGAGTTTACTGTATGACACACAGTTTATTGTATGACAAACAATTTTAACTGTCTGTAAAATAATCACAACAGATATATGAAACTTCACAGTAAGGAAACAGTTTTATTGAATGGAAATACACTGAAAGCAATCAACAACATTGAAGGGAAAACATTCCTTTCCACAGGAAAGCCCCTGTTCAGAAAATAAACACTCCACAACCAGAACTAGAACAACTCCCTCCTTAAAAGACTAAAACTGTCTAACTACTAATTAAAACTTCCCCTAACTGCTGTTTAAACTCATCCTAACTACCCCTAACCTGATGGCAAATGCTCTAGCTAGGACAAGCCAAATCTAGAAGCAAATCAAGCAATAAGTTCATGGATGAAGATTGCGGACTTTGGTGGTGGTGAAAGGTGTTGATAGCTCATGGTTTTGGTGAGTTGTATGGTGAGCGAAGATGTGTTTAAGGGTTTTCTAAGAGAGGTTGGGCCAACTCTTGGAGGAAGGTGGTTAGAGGAGGCCACTTGGGTTGCTCTAGCCTAGGGTGACCTTAAAAGAGTAGTATGACACAAAAATGGCAGCATAACTTTACTCTAAATCAAAGTTGATTACATGATGGAGAGCACCTCTATTTATAGGCTAATGTATCTCAGAATGGGCAGAAACTTTAACCTAAAAGAGCCACCTTGGTTGGCTTAGAGAGCAAGGAGAAATCCTCTCCAATAGGAGGGAGACAAGTGGCAAAAATCCTCTCAAATGAGAGAGTGACATGTGGCCACTACCTATGGAAAAACTCTCCATTCCTAGAGTGACACATGGCCATTAAATAGGAGGAAAACTCTCCAATGGGAAGCTTTCACATGTCTAGGACGAAATTCTTCTCCCTTGTTCTCCAAGCTTAGCCAAAATGTAGACCGCTTAATCAACACACCCATTTTGGAGGTCCAAGCATAGTCAACTTTGGGCCTTGACCCTTTGTTGACTTGTTTGGTCAAAATCTTATTCTACTTGGCCCAAAATACAAAGCCCAAATAAAATCTAGACTACTTGTCCCAAAATACAATGTCCAAAATTATTCTTACTCTACTAAATCTTCATGATGACTTAAGATGGCCCAAGAGAAAGAGTCTAGGCCCATCTTCCATAGTTGCCTCCAACTCTTCATGAATGTGCTAGGTCATGGCAAGGGGTATGTCATCATCCCCTCCCTCTTGAAAAGGATTTGCCCTCAAATCTTCAACATGGAACAAGGAAAACTTCCTTATCTTCTTTGGAGTTTTGTGTGCTTCTCCACCAAGGTCAAATACCCATTTTATAACACAAGTTAGAACAAATGTTATAATAATGAGTAAATGAAGAATATAGCTCCCAACAATGATACACCTTAAATCAAATTAATGATCTAAGGTCTTGGAGAGTAGGAGCATCTTTGAAGCTTTTATTTGTCTTGTGTTGGATGTATATGCTTGAAAGACCATCCATTCCAACAGAGTTAATTTTTAGGGATATGCTATCATATCCTCCCTTTTGAAAAGGATCTGTTCTCAAATCTTCTTGTTCTTTTATTTTTGCCACTTCATACTAACTTTTTCGTTTTATTTTTGCCAAACTATCTAAAAACTCTCTACAAACTGTCTAATACATTACATATCCTATCAGGTTGTACATATAAAAACAATCCCATAGTCACCAAGGATTTATTCGTAGAATAAGTTTTCTCTATTTCCCAAAATTGTCAACAGACTCCTATACATAAATCTAATGTATCTGTTGAAATGAATCAACAGTATCTATAAACTAATATCTCAGAATATTCCTAAACTTAAGAATTTGTGTTTTCTATCAGTGAGTGTGTTGTGCGTTACTCCTTGTGGGGGCATGGCCCTGGGCATATATATTTGGTTGGAAATTCCATTTTACAAACTTTTAGGCGTAAATGTTGTTGGAATTAGTTTTATCAGATTTATATCGATTTTGACTATTGTATTTTTTTTTTCAATTTTATTTAATTGTAAGATATTTCACTTCCTTTTGTATTCAGGTAGTTTCACCTTTCCCACCATCAGATAAGATCGGGATTAACTCCGTTCAGAGAGAATCTGAAGAAATAATACCCATGACACAAATGAAAATGGACTGGGTTCCATATATCCCCCTGGAGGACCGGTATTTTTCTAAATGTTTTCAATTTTGGAGGTTTAGTTTACATATTGCTTCATGATCATCTCTTCACTTCAATATACTTTTGTTGACTTACAACAGAGAAAGCCAAGTTGACAGATTAAAATCTCAAATATTTATCTTAAGTTGCACCCAAAGAAGGTATGACGCTCTCTGTCTTTTCCTTCAGTCTGTATCAATATCCTGTTTCAGTTCAGTCTTTTTTACTTTTCAAGATTAGTAATGCAATATTATTAAAGATGTTTGATTTGTTAAAACTTCCAATTTAATAGATTTACTTTGAGAAGTTATCTTTCTGATAAGAAACATTGCCTCTTGCAACTTTATATGTTTTCTTTGAGTGTCTAAATCCCTTGCTACCTTTGTTCCTTTGTTTTTGTTTCCTCTGTACTTGTTTGTTAGTTTCAATTGCTTTCCATTTTGAAGGTAAATTTTATTACCTAGAACTAATCATTTTATTTTTGTTTGATTTTTGCGTCCATTACATTTACCCTTTTCCTTCATATTGGATATTGCCAAAAGGATATAGTTATTTTTTAATTTCATGTAATTCCCTGGCTTTCAAATTTATTATTATTGTTTGATATGCCTTGGCAAATGATTGGTGTAGAGTTAAGCCCACTCTTTAAAATTAGGATGAAGTCAAGAAGGGTGCCCCCACCTCAAACTGGATTCTTGTGTCTCATTTGATAATGAACTTCTACTTATGTGTCAATCCCGCTGAATTGGAAAAGGTGGTCCTTCCTCATTGGAGGAGATACTACTCTTTAAAGCCAGGCCTTCAAAACAAGGGGCGTGCTTCTAATTAAAATAGTAGTTGTGTCGTAAACAGTAAACATAGAAAGCATGCTCTCTAACTGGTGCAACTGTGCTTGTGTTTGTTGGATTGAACACTTGTCAAGCTTATAGTTGATAGTCAAGGCACAACTTTTTTTACTTAAGAGTATAGCAGTCCAAGCACCGCAATTCGCCTGTGACTTCGCTCACTTGGTCTCCGTCACGACAATTGATGTGATTTGCAACAGTGTTGTGTGACAAAACATTATTTAAATTTTGTTCTTGATATGATAGGTTCTGTTGCCAAGTTTTTCTGCCTTTATATAATAAATAAACGAAAATGGGTTGAACTTTTCTAGATTCAGCTATACTTACATTGTCAAGTTCCCTTGCACGTAAATATTATCAAATAAATAAATGAGTATGTGATTTCAGTTGAATGGACACTTAAGTAAAGTTAGTTGGGAAAACTGAAAGTCCAGTGCTTTGATATTTTGTGCCATTTTCAGTGCTCTATATCTATGTGCAACTTGTCCATTATTGTAGCAACTAGCTGCTAGTTGAAACTTTAGATTAATAAGTGTAGCATGTTTGCTCATGACTGGCTTTTGTCTTGTGATATGGATCTTTGTGATACAGGGCTGCATTGAAACATCTGAAGTTGGAACGTGTGAAGAAATACGAGTACTGCTTACCTTGTGAGCTTCTAACTCTAGAATAAAATTTATCACATATGTATACTAGTCGTAACTTGTTTACACTAGTTAGTGGACAGAACATATAGTTATATCTTTTTACGGTTATGATTTGATTTGTTATGTCCTTTATTTGTTATTTATGCAACAGATTTCTACCAGCCGTTTAAGGAAGATGAACTTGAACAAAGCACTGAAGTTCAAATAATATTTCCAGCAGAGCCAAAGCCGGTAATTATGAGTGAGATAATTTCTGCAAATACGTGTTTATTGACATGTTTACATGAGTGAGGCAGGTTAATATCATATACTGAGTTTTCTACCTGTTTACTTATATCTACCACTTTTTCTTCTTTTCTTGCAGATTTTCTGTGAATTTGATTGGGAATTAGATGAGCTTGAGGTATTGAATTATCTCTCTAATGTTTGTTGTTTAGGATAAACTTAACTATTTTTCAATCCTGTAATAATATTTCTGTGTTTTGTCAATCTAAAATTGATAATCACTAGTTTTAATCTATAATATTGTGGGTCTATTTGCTTAAACTTTTTTTCGAAAAAGTGTTTTTTATTAAATAAAATAATCACTTATTAGGATTTTTAACATGTTTGGATAAACTTATTTAGAAAAAACAGAAGCAGAAAAGAAAAAAACAGGTTTGGTAGAATAGATAGAAGTCACTTTGAATTAAAAAGGTACTTTTCTCTTAGTGTAAACAAACACATTGATTTTGCTTATATAAGAATCACTTAAAATAAATCACTTGCTTTTTCATATAGCGTCATATAGACCCTGTGTGACAGTAATTAATTTTTATGTGTCGAGCAAAATGTTAAGTGATTGGCACATACCAGTACTGTGATGTAATGAATATAATAGATAATAATTGACAAGGTTCTCATTCATAAATTTGTTCTATATTCCACAGGAGTTCACTGATAAGCTTATACAGGAGGAGGAGTTATCGGAAGATCAAAAAGATACTTTTAAGGTATTGAGTAATGGGAAATCATGAAGCGATTCAAGTTTCCAACTCTTTCAAGTAGCAGTTAGACTGTTCATTTTATTGTTTCAGGAATTTGTCAAAGAAAAAGTACGCGAAGCAAAGAAAGCTAATAGAGAGGTACTTATACTTTTGATTCTGCCCATAGTGTTTTGTTTTATGCAATTTTACCTAGAATGTCTCCTGTAGGCAAGGGAGTCTAGAAGAAAAGCAATTGCAGAAATGAGTGTAGAAACTAAAGCTGCTTTTGAGACCATGAGATTTTATAAGTTCTACCCCATGCAAAGTCCAGATGCACCTGATGTATCAAATGTTAAGGTAAGCGCTTGCGCATTCTAACGCAGATTTTTGGACTTCCAATTCTTATGTTAACATCTTAGTACAACATTAAGCATCAATTACTGCCCTTAAAAATGAAAATGCTTCAGTAAAGTATCCAAGACTACTTGTAACGAACGTTGTAGAAGATTTGCCATGCAATTTCAGTTCACATACTTGCATGTGTCTACAAGGGGCCAAGCTGCCAAAGAACATTGATTAAAAGAAGTGTTTGATTTTTCTTTCATCTTTGGTTGAAAATATGCTATGCTTGCTGTATGAATGCAACTAGCTGGTCTTCAATCAGATGTGGAAAATCGTAAAATTGTTAAGCCACTCTATTTCTGTCATGTTCTAACTAATTAGAACAGTATTTATTTTAGAAGGATTTGCCCGATATTATAACTAGTTGATTAGTCGATGCATTCACAATATATTTTTCATGTATGCCTAATTATCGTGTACACACCATTCTGTGCTGGTAGTCTCCATTCATAAACAGGTATTACGGAAAGGCTCATGAGGTTCTGTAAGTGGATTCAAGATGATGACAAGTTCATTTGCAGGCTTCTTGTCAATAGAGATTTACTCATCTTTGACGATCAAGGGGCAACCACCTGGTGCCTCGTCAGCAGTGTAGCTGCATGAAGGAATACATGGGAACAAAATGTTACCATAGGAGGAATATTTGGGACGAGTTTCTGATTTTCAATGTGATCAGGAGCTTCAATTTTTGTAGCCCTTGCCTTGGTTTCGATTTTCGGATTCTTTGTCCATTGATGAGTTGTTTGGCTTTTATTAGAAGTTAAATGAAAATAAATTATTTGTTATTTTAACATCGAAGGATGATTTGGTGAAAGGACAAATTTGTAGAAATTGATATCGCGTAACGAAATGTTTTAGAACATGTAAATAGATACAAAACCAAGAGGGGAAGGGTGAATTAGTCTATTAAAAATTTTCACTTTCTTTTAGAAACAAGAAAATCACAAAAGATTTTTATATTGGTTCAAATCAAAAGATTCTACGTCCAATTGTTAATCACTTTAGAATGAGTAATTAACTTTTCACTAAAAATCAATTTCATGTTTACAAGATGAGTAAAGAACCACACAGAAAATAATACACCTTCCTTTGACACATGAGGGAATGATCACTAGCTTGAACAACTTGCAGGGAATTGCTTACACCTTTAGACACACCAAAACCAAGCTTCTCTTTCCTCAGGATTGGATCAAGCTTAGACTTAAATTCAAGAACTTCCTCAGAACCAATTTTATGTTTTTAATAGTTTAGGTAATATTGGAAAGAATTAGTAGACTTCTATTTATATGCCAGGGGTTAAAAAAATGAAAAGTCAACTCTCAAATGTTAGAGATAATCGATTATCAAAAGTGATAATCGATTATTTCAGGTCGTTATGGGTTTTGAAAATCGTGATGATCGATTATCTTTAGTGATAATTGATTATTGCCAAGATGAAGCCTTTTCTACTTTTACTTTTGATAATCGATTACCCCTTATGATAATCGATTATTGCTGCGAGAAATCAATAAAAAAGAATAAGTTACATGTCTTTAGAATGCTTACAATTGAAAGATAAACCTAATACAATTGTTTCTACAAAAGATGCTTTAACAATGTATGTGAAAGTTCCTTAAAGTCTTCAAGTGGATCATCATAAAGAAACTCTTCAAAGCATCAATGCTCCTAATTGGCAACAAAATTTTGTAGAATTATTTGTTGAGGTTATTATGCGTTATGTTACTACCACCAATGAAAGTACCGAAGGCTTTAAATAAGAGAGGTTGAGGGGAAGCTCATCTTACTTGTTGTAAATTTGGAGGTTGGTAATGGTTACAATGAGAAATTCTTGTGATAAGACCGGACGAGCTATCAACTTGACCTAAGGCTCATGAGCCAGTCCTGACCCATCTATAAATAAGTCTCTTTTTAGGAGATCCTCAATTGAGGGAGCAAAAGAAAAGTCCTAATTCCTAATGTTCCTTCTCAAGTGGGTTAGGTCAGGGTTAATGTGAGTTTAGTCTTACTACAACATTCATTAACTTTTAAAAACAAGATATTCTTGGATCACATATCAAGTCGTGTCGTTTTGGGACGAAGGTAAAGATGAGTCGACTTAGGTCAAAGGTACCAAAACAAAGGTTTTGATGTGTCAACCTGAGTCGTAGGTCGAGGCGATTGAACCCGGGTCGAAGGTATACGGGCCTTAATTTAGTTGAGTCAAACTTGGCCAAAATTTGGTCGATTTAGCCTTAATTGAATTTTAGCCTAGTTGGCCTTGCATAATATTCTTCTAAATTTGGCAGAGTCGATCCCAACCGAAGTTTGGCTGATTCGACTAAGTCAACCTGCCCAAAATTTGGCCTAACTCGGTCGAGTCCAACCCTAAACCAAAGTCAACTCCACCCTTATTTGAAAGTTGAGATGGGTGGGGTCTGCTAAAAGTTGAGAAGGCTTGAATCGAGTCAATGGTTGAGATGAGCTGGTCCGAACTAAAAGTTTAGATGAGCCAGTCTGAACCAACGGTCTAGACAAGCCAACCTGGATCGAAGGTCGAGACGAGTCAATTTGACTCAGATTGAAGGTCAACTCGAGCTAAAGTTTGAGACAAGTGATCTTGGACCAAAGGTCATAATGGGCTAATCCAGACTGAAGATTGACTATGACTAATTTGGCTAAAAGTCAAAACAAGCTTATTTAGACTAAAAGTCTACAGGAACCAACTAAACCAAAAGTTTATTTATATATTTTAAATAATTAATATGTGTTTCATGTTTAAAAAGAAAGTCCATGAGCCTTTTGGCCAATGAACTTTTTTAGTGGAGAGCTTTTTAACCTTATGACTGTTTTAGTTCCAACTCACATGAGTCAAGACTAATTGACTATATTGACAGTTTCTAGATTGGATAATGCAAATAAGAGATACGATATAAATATGCTTTATTACTAAAGAATTGAACATGCTTCTTAATTTGTATAATTTGGCTCATTTATGGCACACAGTGAATTGTTAAAAATGATATGCAGATTATCAAATCTATTTACTAACCATGTGAATGGGTGCATTTATCATGTTTCCTAAAGAATTTGTAAATTCTCTTAGATTAAACTATCTAAAGTTAAATTAGTGCATTTTTTTCTAGATTGTTTGAAAGTAAAGTATAAAAAAGAAAAGAAAAGAAAAATTTGCTTGAGCTAGAAAATGAAATCTAGTCAAAGGGGTAAAACTAATGTTCTATTGCTTGTAGATGTGTTTTTGTTATAAGTCATAAGTGACGAATGATTTGTGGATAAGAGGGACATTCACATTAACAGATTTGAGAGTGAAGGAAGGAGAATATTAATGGGATTTAAAGATTTTTTGAATCTCACTTTAACTTAGAGGATTTGAGGATGACATGTATGAAAAAATATTTTTACCCTCGTTAAATCACCATTTTTTTTCTTCACATGCATGATGTTGGAGCTTTTTCTTTTAGCGAGATTATGTGAGAGAGAGGGTGATGGTCCTTTCAAGTGAGTTGTTGACTGTGATGAAATTTGTGTGAGTGCGTGGTTGATGGAGTTCATGGTTGAAGATTAAAGGAAAAGGGAATCGATTCCTATTGAGCTGGAAATGATTCCACCATGAAGTACAAAAGCTAAGGGAATTTATTCTCATAAGACGTAGAATAGATTCCATTAAGAGTGAAAATGTGAAGAGAATCAATTCCTATAACACTGGAACCAATTTTAGCAAACCCTGGAATAGGGTGTAATGTCCGTGGAACTGGTTCCACTTCGTTGATGTTTTTGTTTTGTGCTCCACTTCAAGAGGTTATGCCAAGGTCAATTCTTATGACAAGTCTTAGATCTTCTTTGGACAATGCTTGCTTTCAAAGTGAGTGAAGACTAAGATAGATAGGCTACACAGGAATTGAATTCAAAATTTAAGTTACTGCATTATGCTTTTTATATGGTTATGAAATACGAAAAATCTACTAAAACACTTCAACGTATATTATACTAGTGCTTTCAAAATGGAATGATTAATTAATTAAAATCATAAAACATAGTGAATATTTACAAGTTGATTTTAATTTGGTGTAGTACCAAAATATATTGTATTGTTTATTTATTATAATTTCTTAATTTTAGTATTTCAAATAATTTTTACAAAACAAATATAACTTATATAAATATAATTTTATATTATTTTTAATATAAAAAATAATTTGATAATCTTAATTTTTTATTTATTAAAACATATTTTAAAAATTTATCTGAAACAAATAACTAGAAACTTCATAAATTTTACTTTCAATTTCATTAACTATCACTTCCAAATTCTTTAAAACATACACTTTATTCTCAAATTCATTCTTTCTTTCTCAAATTTATCTTTAAAATGAACACACCATTGAATATTATCCTTACAATTCCCACTTTTTATGGATTTTTTCTTTTTTACAATTTTTTGAAAAATATTATTTAGAAAATAATATATTTAAATTTGTAAAGTTCTAGAATTTATGACAAAACTTAGATTATATTTAGTACAAATTCATTTTCAATTTTTTACAGAACATTTTTAAAAACATTTAAATGTATGAAAACTAAAACAAACATTTTCTTAGAAGATTAAACTCAATTAAACACAAGGTTAACATTAAACTAAATCAACTCAAGTACGCTTAGACTCGATTCCATAGTTGACTTGTTAAACTTGTAATGCAAACTAATTAATTTTAACTTAGAGTTAAAATTTAAGTTTGCTAAAGACCAAACTCAACATTTTACCAATCACGTTTGAAACTCTTTTAGAAAATCCACTTTCATGCTTTCTTCTTCAACTCCAATAATCTAAAAATTTATTATCACATTATTGTCATAATATTTCCAAATTATATTATGATGTGTGTAAATCAAAACGTTAATATGCATAATCTACAATATAATATAATATGTTTCTGTATAAATTTGTGTACTGAAAGATGTACCTTTCCGACATAGCCTTCTTGTTTCCTGATATCTGACCTGCTCCACTCACTATAATTTCGCACTAGGAGTATGTACTCTGACACTCAAGTTAGACATTGCTCAATGAGCTTTTTCTCGTAAGTGAGTATTTAGGTCGTACCTCCCTTTGTGGTTTGCCTTTACATTTATAAATTATTCTATGAACCTAAAACTATTACATGTCCAATAAAACAGACTTAACTTTAAATTCAGTCTGTTATTCGTTTACAGTTTCTTTATAAGTTATCAATATCTTTAATCAATATTTTAATTGTTTCGTTATTTAAATATTATTTGCCCAAATCACTGACCCAATAATACTTTGCGTGTTGGCCCAATTACAGCCTAACATTAATGACTTAAACAAATGTCCAACATCAATGTTTTAAACGCTGGCCCACATTGATCTAGCTGACTATTGTTGTTGTAGAGGATGCACCGAACGGTGTTGACTTCTAACCGTTCGGTCCATGTCATATACCATACAATTTTATTTCGAAACTTAATAGAATTATATAATCTATAATATGATTCCAAATTTCATAATTAGAACCAATATTTTAAATTGGACAATCGAAAAAAGTTACATAAATCTAAAATATAGTCATAGATTATATAATTCAAATCAAATCCAGATATTTTCTAGATTATAAATAACAAAATGTGTTTCTAAATTAATTATGAAGTGTTATATGAAAGAATATATTGGTCTTTATATTAGGAGAGGAAAGATAAGAAAGTATGGGATAAAAGAAGAAAAATCCTTCTTGAAGTGAAAAAGACGTGCACGCCTAATATTCAAATTCCTCCCACTGTAAAATTTCCAATCTAAATTCTAAGAAATTTGACTCCAACCATGAAATTATAAAATGTAACATCCTGTTTACAACTTTAAGATCATTGTTACAAAAAAATCATAATTAACTGTCAAATACATTTACACCATTCTACATAAATTTATACCCTCAAAAAATTACATCTCCCTCAGTAAGAACTCGTGAACAGTCTTAAACCATAAAAGAATTCACCAGCAAATGCAAAGCAAGGTGGTGCTCACAATACAGTACTCATTCCATTACTTTGAATATCAGAGCAGAAAATAATTAGCAAATCATGAACTGAAACTGGACTTAGGCAAATAAATACAACCAATGAGGCTTGGCTACTGGTTAATTGGCTGACCACGACCAAACAGTGCTTTACCATTCCGATCCGTTAAAATCTGACCCTTCCATTGCAAAATGGTCTTTCCATTGACCTAGGCTAGCAAATGGCATGAGACCACAGAACAGTGGTAGAAACACTAGCAAGATAGTATAGAAGAGAACTCTGCGAATCCAATACTGAAAAATTGTTTTTTTTTCCGTTATTTGCCATGCAGTGACTGGTCCATGAAGGATTTGGAACAAAGCAGGTGTCCAGCAGAGGGAAAAGAAATGAAGCAAACATAGCATCTCCCAGTATAAGAGCCACACATTACCACTACCACCTAGTGTCTCCACACACAGCTTGCCACAATAGCCACAACCAACTCCCAACATTAAAAGGATGAAAGTAACAGGCATACTCTGTGATGATGATGTTGTTGATCGCTGCAAGAGCAAATATGCAACAGCAAAAATCATCAAGACACCAAACATCATTCGGCTCATTACTTGAACCTGGCACCACAAAATATGCAACTTTGAATTGAATGAGGTCACTGACTTGGGAGTCCACCAGGAGGAAGATTCCTAAAATGGAAAAGAAAGACATCATTAATACCTTTCAATTGGGCCAAGGCAATCCTGGAGTAATATGCATATGAAAATCACTGAAGTACTGTGAGAATAACATCTTACTATACATAGTGTGCATCTTAATTCTTAAATTAGAGCACAAATAAAGGAAAGACGACGAGTGGATCTTTGATCATGACAATGACTTACTTTAAAAAAAACATGGAAATCTTAACAAAGAACAGTTTTTTCTCTGAATAAAATTTCAGCAATATGCTCACTGTTAGTTATTTTTCACCAAACACTTTTAGAACAAGGCTACACTGACTAAAAGTACTACTAATGTAGCTATTTCAAACATAGAACCAAATACACAAGGCAAAAACTCTGATTAAGTTTTTCTGCTAAACCAAAGCACGATGCACAGTAGCCTCAGTATTTCATGTGCACCAAAAACATGTAACCAGGGAAAAACAAAAAGATTATACTTGCCTGGGTTGATGGTGTACATGATTCAGTAGCTTCAGCAATCCGTTCATAGGAATAGACATAAGCACCATAGAAAAGTGAGGATGACATAATGAGCAAACCAGTGATAAGACAGTCTATGCACTTCTTTTTTAGTTCACCATGCCTGGTATCTTCTAACTCAGTCTTAAACTTTTCAGCTTTGAAAGACGCCTTTGATTCTCCCATGGCTAATTTCGATCTGCTTAGACTATTCAAATCACGGTTGAGAGCCAATTCGTCCTTTTTCATGTTCAATTCTTCCATTTTAAGGCCAATTGCAAGTGCCTTGAGGTCATTAGAACGACCCTGCTCTGCGACATGCTTCTCAAAAATACTAACCATAGGATTATTGACTGATCCAAATGATATTTGAGAAAAAGAAACCATTTGATCTGATTGCCCATACAATGCGAGATCACGACTAACTGAATCCATAAGAAATTTATCTCTGCCCTCTTCAGGAGAATCGTCACTAACTGAATTTACATGAAAGTTATCCCCTCCCCTGTCCTCTTCAGGATAATCATGACTGACAGAGTCCCTATGAAAGTTATCCTTGACCTCTTCAACAAGATCACGACTGATTGATTGATGGATTTCAGTATCATATGGTCTAGAAGGACCACTCTCTCTAAAAGCATCACCTGAGCATTCTCCTTTGTCAACAGTCAATCTAGAACTCAGAATTTCCATCTTCATATTATTCAATTTATTTCCTTCATTGCACTTGGATGATTCGTAAACTGATTGGAGAGTACTCAATGTGCTACTAAAAGATTGCTCAAAGTTCCTTGTCAAACCATCTAGCTTATCTCCAAAAACCTGAGACCAGGTAGGAAAAAGTCAAATTAAGAGCTGGTTAATGCTGTTGATATGAACGGCTGTAGAAACAAAGTAGTAAAACTGCAATTAAATGATGAATCGCCAATTGATCTGGCTTACACTGGCAAGAGATTCCTTGATAGCTGATGTACACATCTGCATGCAGGACAACATTTTGAAACTTTTTCAATCATCAAAAAGCATAAAAAATATCTCCATGAGTCATTTCAGAAAATGTTTTACATACAAATGGTACACGCAGTGGCATCAAATAGGAAAAATTACACTTACTCCTAATCAAGTTCATTTCTACTCTTACGCTAACCTCCTTCAATTATTTGAAAAATTTTACATTGATGCCTTTGTACATTATACTCACAAGCACAATACACCTTCCTCTTTAGCCTTACACCATTCTTATTTAATTAATTGTAAGAAAAACATGTGCTTGTACATTAAATGAATACCCTAATATACTAATTGTTTGAAAAGAAAGCTTTAGACAGTATTAGCCCGTAGATGGAGTTGTTAATAAAAATGAAGAGAGACGTGTGCAAACTACAATCTAAAAAATCAAAAGGGGAATAAGCGTGATATGCTTTATCAAATATTAAGTTAAAATTTACCACGGAAAGATGACTTGGAGATATACTCTCAGCTGCTACATCTTGTCTATACAATACCTTCAAAATTAAAAATAAATTAATAAAGTTTCTCATACATAATATCAAGCAATAATCTTAACAGATCAAAGCAATAATTAACCAAAAAACTTAAAAACACTACCCATTAACCCTCACCAATGACTAAATGAATCAATGTTCATACAAGACACAAGTCATCAGTTAAATACACAATTAAAACCAATATTGAGTAATAACCGAAATTAGAACCAAGAAACTTCAATAAGCAAACTTTAAGAGGAGCAAAGAAAACTTCAAGAAACAAACTTTAAGAGGAGCATTTACCTGAGCCATAACTGCGGCGAATGACATTCCCAGAGGAAGGCCGATAGTGTCCACATTATTAGTCCTATGACGTCGAACAACCACGCTAGGGTTCCGTCGCTTGAATGATACCTTCTTACCTTTACTTTTTCTTTTCCGTGAGGAATTGGAGGAGGTTTCAGACATGTCTGAACTTTGCATTCCATTGTTCATCGAAATTTGACTCTGAAATTGGTTGATTGTTGTTGGTTCAGAAGAACAATTCTCAATCTCAGTCATGAGGGGCCCTCCTTTTAGGAACAAATTCGGTAAAAAGACCACACATTCATGAAATTTAGTGTGATAAACCACAATAATCCTCAAATTTGAAGTGTCAAATGTTGCACTGCAATGATTAGGGCGCTAGAGAGTGTTTCTTTCTCTCACTTTTGGAATATTATGAAACTTTGCCGCCTTCCTTCTCTTATTCTCTTTTAGATCTAGCAGCCCATATTGCGAAAAGACCTTTCACTATTTAACACTATCCCGGAAATACAGGTTTTCCCTTATTATACTCCATTCAAAACTAATACTATCCTATATGCATCTATCCATTTATAACAAATAAAATTCAAACTTAAATATATTTATTAGTTTTGAATTATTGCAAAATAAAAATGATTTACATCTGTAGTATATAAAAATATATATAATTTTATTATTTTGTTATTTATATCAGTAATTAATAATAAAATAATAATAACACAATTTAAATATATATATATATATATATATATATATGTAATTTTGTAAATTATCAAAAAATAACATCAAAAGAAATTATCAAATGATATATCCTCATTTATATAATGATATATATATATATATATATATATATATATATATATATATATATATAGTTTATAGTTATATTATATAGAGCATTATAATATATTATAAATATATAATATACTATAACTAGTTTATAATATATAACTTTTAAGTTATATAATAAATTATACCATATTTTATAAATTAACTATGTAAAATATTATATCATTTTATAAATGTATTATATAGTAATTATAGTATAATATTCCATAGATTATATATTATAAATTATTTATGATGTATTGTATGTTCTATAAAATATTTATAATATACTATATAAGACATTTATGATATACAAAATATTCAAAATATATTATGTATTCTATATAATTGAGAATATAATTTATACTTTATTTTTAATTTAAATATACTGAAATTTATTTTATTAGTATTTGAATACCGTATAATTTTATAACATATTTGAAAAAATATTTTATTATTTTCTGGAATATTTAAAAAGAATTATTGTTTCTTACATTAAATATTTACTATTTATAATAAATAAGAAAATGTTCTACCTAAAGAAATAAGTGTCTTTGCAAAATTGCTTGTCCCTTTCTCACATTCTTTAATTTGAAAGAAATGAAAAGTATATTTTCTTCCTCTCATTTCTAACCTTATTTGATTTTTTTTTATTTGTCCAATGGACAAAATCGCATTACCTAAGGAAAATTAATACTTTAATTGATGTGAGATTCTAAAAATTTTAATAATTAAAAAATATAAAAATAATTAAATTCTTTTAATGAAAAATAACACGGGTTGGTTGTTAGTTATAAATCAAAAGATTTTTTTTAATTTAAAAGGTTTATTTTTTAGAAGTTAAAATTTAGTGAATAATTATTTTATTAAAAAAGTTATTTTTAGATATTATTAAATATTTGTAAATATTTATGGATATTGTTATATATTATATATTTAAGAACCTAGAAAATAGAGTATTATATTAGATAGGTGTATTAAAATAATGAGATAGAGTATTTTATTTTAAAATAATCATATAATATAAATAGAAATTTATAAAGATCGTCTCATTATCTACATACCTTCTATGTCTCTAAAATATTATTCTCTTCCATTCCTCTGACTTCTTTCTAACCTTTCTCACTCCTCAATCATCTGTTCAACGACCAGGAAGTGCCTAGGCGACCCCTAAGGCGGAGGCTACTTACCTGTCCGATCAGATTTTCCAATAGAGCAAGTATGTTTCGTGCTCTTTTTCTTAATTTTCCCTAATCAGTAATCATGTCAAGAATATGTTCTTGCATGTATTAATATGTGTTTTTCTTCAATTCTTAGCTCAATTTAGGTTCTAAGGTTGGTTTTCCTCACCAATTGGTGATTTGTAGAGTTTTCTAGAGTTTCCTTGCGGTGCAAGCAAATTGTTAGGGTTTCTGTGAGCTGTGCTAGTTGATTGAGGTAAGGGAAGTTAGATTACTGTTTTAATTAGTTGGTTGACATGTAAGTGTGTTGAATTCTATGTTTACTGAAAATGTTTGAACTAAATTTAGGTTTTGTGAGTGAATTATATTTTATGCAATGTGATTGTTTAATTTAAATTGATGATCTGTAATGATGGACTGGTTTTGGATGATAATTAACGTGTTATCAGATGTATGGAAGGTTAGAAATAGATTATAAGGTTGATAGGTGGTGAAGAAAGTCTAAAATGTGAAGTTTTAAGGTAATTCAAGGAAGTGGGGTAGTGAAAATGAGAATTAGAGGTTAAATACTCAATTGGTCTGTTGGAGCAGCTTTGGTAAGTCAAATGTGACTTGCTTGAACCCTGAAATTGGTCAAAACATGTCAAAAGTGGTAGAATTAGATTTGGGTTCTTAAGTTGAGAAATTTGGAGTTTTGAAGAGAATTGGCTCTTAAACACTTTAGATTGATGGTAGAAAGGGTTAGAAACATTTAGTCAAGTCTAATTAGGTATATAACACAATTTAAAAGTGTTAGAAGTTGGGAAAAATAGTTAGAATTGGTAAACTTGGGTTGAGTTGCATAATTTTGCAGAATTCGTGTTGTAGAATTATGCAGACTCGTTGAGTGAATGGATTCACACAGCGAGTGGTCATGACGAGTTGCTATCTGTTTGAGCGATTCGCACAACGAGATGGTGCACTTTGCGAATGTTTGTGAGGTTTGGTCTCTGTTTGATGATCCACACAATGAATCAGTGCGCTGAGCGTCTGAAGGTGGTCTGGGGTCATTGCCAAATTAATTCGAATAGCGAAAGATGACACATAGCGAGTGTTTGGGGGGTTATGGGCCATTGTATAGACTTTTGCATAACGATTTGGGGCTCTATGCGAGGTGGTTGAGGTCTGGTGTCACTAAAAGTTTATTCGCACAACGAGTTTGGGTCGTTGTGCGAGAAACCTCTAGATTCGCTATGCGAGAGGGTGCGTTGAGCGAAAGGTTCAGGTTTAGTTCACTCTTTTCTTCTTTGTGTTAATTTAATTTAAATAAAGTGTTGAGTCTATTATGAAGTATGTTTGAGTGTGTTTTACAGTATATGATTGATTTCTATCATGAGTATTTTCCAAGAGAAGTTGTGTGAATTTTAAGTGATGGAAGAAGTTTCAATGTGGAATCTCTTGGTGAGATTCAAGTTTATTTAGAATGAATGTAGGAGCTCAGTCTTAGGGGTTATCCTGAAACTTCAATGGTCTTTCATTCTCATGTAGAGAAGATTGATCCATGTCGTGAGGAGTAGCAGGAGGTCTTAGTCTTGGAGGCTTCCAGTATGCTCCAAGGCGTGGTACAGACTAACCTCGTGAGTGCGGTATGATGAAACTCATTGGCAATGGCTTTGCAAAGCAGTAGAGGCCACCACGAGTGCACAACGCGCCATAGCTCGACAATCATTCTAAGTCCGGACGGTAAAGTCTAAGTTATAACATGTTAGGATGTTTGAACTGGTTTATCTTGCTTGTTTAATCTTGAGTATGTTATATGTTGTGCAATTGTATGAATTCTTTTATATTTAGGTTACCCTTCTGTTTGTGATTGTGTTTTGTATGTTTGGTGTTCTTCCTTTGCAATGATAATCCTGTGGGTGTGAGCAAAGGAAGATGAAGTGTCTCTAGAGCAGACTCTGGAGGGTGATGATGCAGCCGCTTAATGTAGTTAGAATGCTTATTGTGGTGTATAGTTTTGATAACTTCTTGTATATAAAGTTTTAAATTTTATGGTTATTTTGGATGACTTTAAAGTTAATACTTTATTTACTAGTTTATAACTGTTCTATCATATTATTTTGTGACTACCATAATATGATTTTTGGCTATATTTTGGGATGTTACAATATATTAGTACAAATTAATATATTTTTTTATAGATACCATGAGATATTTTTATATATTGTTATATATTATTACATATAATAAATGATAATAAAAATAATGTTTTTTGTAAAGATATTAAACTTGTAAATATATAAGAAAACAAAATTTAAGGAAAAGTTTTAATAGAAACTATGTGACAAATCAAGGAATAAGAAAAAAAGATAAAGATTAAGTTTTTACGGGAAGGATTGATGAAGTGAAGACTAAGAAGTTCAAAAGGATTACTTACATTCTTGTGTCTTTTTTTACTTATTTGTTTATGTGTCTGGATTAAATTGTGGTTGTTATTGGTTTGATTATTATGTTGTGAAGTTTAAATAGTTTTAAATTAAATATGTTGAGATTGTTAAGGAAGGATAATTGATTTGGGGTTTAGGATTTAAAGAATATTTATTTTCTTTTTATAAAGATGACATTTGGATGAAAGAATGCTTTTTCATGATTTTGAGTTTCATGTGAATGAGGTCTGTGACAATTTTGTGTTGGAAGGAAAACTTATTTTGTTTGTTTGTTATTATTTTGATTGTGTGTAAATATAATTATTAATGTTAAATTATGGTTTTTTTGTGGATAGTCTTTTAAATGTTAAAACCAGAAGGATGACGTCTTTGGATAGAAAATTATAGATTATGTTTGTGTGTACTTGTTAGTGGATGTTCTTTAGAGTGTCAAAAGCGGAGGATTGATGTCTTTGACAGAAGACTCTATTACTTGTTTGATGTCTCTAAATTTATGAATGATTATTAAGATGTTTTGAGATTTTAAATTTTTAAAATAAAGATTTTATGTTATTTTGTTGGCTTATTCTTATATTTGTGGTGGTGATTTCAAAATTTTTTTTTTTTATTAAAAACATATGATAATAAAGTAACGTGAAAGTTGCATAATAATATATATTGTCAGGAGATGTTTGGAGAAAATTTTTAGTTTAATATTTTTTTTCCAATAAAGATTATGATTATAAAACAATGATTTTGTTATTATTATTATTGAGATTTTTAATAAAATAAAAATAAACTTTTATTTTAGTTATTTTTAATTATAGATTTTAGAAAATGAAAAATTGGAATGTTAATAATATTACGAGATTATTTCTTAATTATTAAGACTTCGTCGTGTCCTTAATTTATTGACTAAATAAAAGCACCCCATGTAACTAAAACAAACCACACTATTTCATTTATCATTCATATAAATATATAAAATTTAAACTATTATAAAAATATTATTTTGTTAGAAAAGGTTTTTTATGATTTAAAAGTCTTTCTAGATTTTAGAAGT